AGTTTCAGTGTACTGTGGGACACCTGTGTCTAATGACAAGGAAAGCAGTGTATTCCTTTAATAGAATAAAGCTATTCTCTGTTCCTCATGAAGTTTTCAACCACTTTCATTAGCAGTGAAATGGCTCAGGTATTTCTAACATCCCTTTATTGTGCTTGTGGTTAGGATTTTAAGGCGTTTGACCCTTAAACGTTGCCTTGTTTTATCAGCGCTTTGGGAATTTTGTTCTGCTACCTCCTCACCCTAAGTCTAAAGCACCCAAATTGTCACTTCACTCAGATCACAGTAGTTAACAGGACTGTCTAAAAATATCTGTTGAAAGCCCTGGCTGATCTGGCTTAGTGGATTGAGCAGGGGCATGTGAGCCAAACGGTCGCCTGTGTTGATTCCCAGTCAAGGCAGGTGCCTGGGTTGCAGGCCTGGTCCCCAGTAAAGAGTGCACGAGAGGCAACTACACATTGATGTTTCCCTCTTTCCTTCCTTTCTCTCTAAAAATACCACATTTTTTGGACTATAACATGCACCTAGGTTTTAGGGGAAGTTTTTTGAAGCAAAAAATATAAGATACTTAATAACATAAATAACAGGCCCCCGCCACAGTGAGCCAGGTAAGCTACATTTGGATTGTAAGATCACCCTCCCCGTTCCCCCCAAATTTGGGGGGTGCGTCTTATAGTCTGAGAATCGTAAATAAAAATCTGAAAAAAACTTTTTGAAAGAAAAAGTGGCAGGAACAGTGAGACACTTTAGGGGCTGAGATCACTGCTGACTCTGAGATCTTCAGTGAATTTCTTCTGTGGACTTCATTTTCCTCACAAAGTGAGGAGATAATGGGTGGTAATCTTGAAAGGTCCTTTTCTGTGATCTGAGCATGAGAAACAACTGGTGGCCTCATTAGGAAAATCTCATACGAGAGAAAGCTGCTAATTTGCTTAAGACTGAACTCTATCCATTCAACCACACCTAACTCCTACCCCCTGAAAGGACTAGTTGAGTCCCTTTGCAGTGCAACCAAACTAATTTTCAGAGTCCAACTGAGTTTGCTTCAAGGACTTAGGATCAAATGTTTGATCCCAATATAATTTTTTATTCCAGTTGGCCTTGCTTCCTTTGATCTTCATTGAAGACAGTGTTTTATGTTAGAAGCAGTATGTATGACTGTATGACAATACAGAAAATCAAAATCACATATGTGGCTTCTGGGTACTGTTATTTTTCTTAATGTCTCTGGGATTCATAACAGACTGGAAAATACTTTGTTTCAAAGCCTTTTCCAATATAAGAATGCCTCATAAAATGATGGTAGGCATAGTGCCAGGCATTTGCATTCATTCTTTTTACCCATAATTCTCTTGCTCAGTGTCTCCCCATGTTCATGAGCACATATATAAAAGGAGAGTAGAAAACAATGGAGAAGTTTTTGATGAGCCCTTCTAGGGATTTCATCCTCATCCTATCCTCTTAGTCCCAGGTGGCGTACTTCCGAGCTGCACTGCCAAGAACATAGTTGTTGGAAGACAGAGGCAGTCATTAACCACATGTTTAAGTACACACATATTTAAAGATAGTTCCAGATACTTTGGGATATAAAATCACCAAAGTAAATTTGTTAAGTCATCTGCTCTTGTGGAACTTGAATGTGAGGGCTGGGGTGACTTACACATCGGTAATCACAGAGCAGCAGCAGGCCAGCAGCGTGGACCTACGAGCCTGTTAGACATGCAGACTGTCCAGACCTTCTAGACCCAAATCTGCATTTTAATTCATATGCACAGAAAAGTTACAGAAGCAGTGGCCTAGAATACAAAGTGGGATGTTCGGTGAGAATTCAGGACAAGAACACTTTGATTTTTGCACTTTCCATAAAATTACCTTGACTTTATAACTCCATGAAGTTGGTTCTGTTACCCTTCATTGACAGAAGCTTTAGAGATGAAGCATCTTGCCTAGTGGATGACAGCTAGGAAAAGGAGCCTATTTTCCAATCTCTTCTGACTGGAAGAGTGTCAGGGGCGAGAACTTAACGTGCAGGAAGAAAGAGGGAAAGTTGCAGGTGGCATTTAAAGTACCAAAAATACCACAGTTCTGTAATTAACCTGAGTGCATTGTTTGTGAACGCGAAGAGGGGGAAGTAAAGTTTGAGGTGTAGGTAAAAGCCAGGTCTTGCAGATCCAAGTCCAGTCCTGTGTCCAATAGTGGCATTTCCTCATGTGAGGAAAGAGATGGAAAACAGGTGCATGTCCTTTCTGGGAACAACATGAAGCCTGTGAAACGTCAGCGTTGCTTAAAGAATCTTCTGAAAGTCAGGAAAGTTGCTCAGTTTCCTCCTTCCCACCTCCAGTCCCACAGTAGAATGATGCCTCCTGGCTTTATATTACAGATTCAGGGGCGAAGCCTCCTATGATGTAAAGCTGAGTCTAGAAAGAGTGGCCCACTCTTATTTCGATTTGCTGGGTGTACATGTGCAGAAATAGATTGTGACAGACTGCATTTGGAGGTCTGAACCACTTCGAGGAAGGTAACCAGGACAGTCAGATTTAGCCTGTGTTTAGTATATTTAGCTTGGAAAAGAGAAGACGGGAGACAGAAAAGCTATAGCCAAATATTTACCAAGCACATACCATCGCTGGCTCCTAGGGATATGAATGTTGAATATGACACAGACATTTTCTGCATCATGGAGATGAGAGTCTAGTAAGGAAGACATTAAATGAAATACTAAAAATAGTTAAATAAAAGTGCTGCAATAGAAGCTCTGACTGTGATAGGGACCAAAAAGAGGCAGGAAAAGCTTACTTGAGAAAGTAATGTTCAAACTGAAATTCAAAGAATGGATAGGAGTTAGCCAGAGAGGACAATTCCATTATATGCACAGGCTTTGTGGTGCACCAGCATGGTAGTGACATTGACAAGTCTAGTTGAAAGAAACCATGGAAAAGGGAAAGGAGAGAGGGTTGGGTAGGTAACAAGGAACCAAGTATTTTGGTACCTTGTAACTATGTTCTAGTTTTCGCATTTTGTTTGAAAGGCAACAATCTATTGAAGGTTTGAAAGTAACTGTTGCATTTGTCAGAAAAGTACCATGCTAGGTACATACGATAAGTGATAAGTGCGTCAGAAAGTCCTGCTAGGTCATGGTGTTGCAGACTACCGAGTGGACATGACTGAGTGCCGCCTGGCTGGCTGGCTAGGTGGCTGGAGGACACTATGTAAAGGTGGGCTGCAATGTCTTCCATAGTGGTAAATTCTTGGTCATTGGGAGTTTTCAGGTGTCCACGTGGGGAATCAGATAGGTTTCTTGGCCTAGATTCTCTGAGGCACCTTTATATTATTGAGATTTACAGTCCCTTGTATTTGGTCAGAAATGTCACTACAAGTAATATCAACAGTTGCCATTATCTATATGTGTAGCCTGGTACTTTTACACAAATTATCAAATTTTCATCATAGCTCTACAAAGTAGAATAAGTCCTGCCTTACAAATGAAGAATTGAGCCGCAGGTTAAGTCACTTGCCCAAGGGAACAAGGGTAGTGAATAGCAGAGTCAAAATCTGAACCCAGACCTACTGTGCTGTCAAAGGCACATCCTCGTCACTGCCACTGTATAAAGTCTCTACATGAACTAGTACACAAATCCAGGGACAGGTGCTTGATGAATGAACAAATTAGGCTCGAGTTTTCCTACAGGATGTCACATTTACTTAAAAATTGTTTCATGTGTGCTATGCACCAAGCACTCGAGATACGGTAGTCAAGTGGATGTGGTCCCTGTCCTCTGAGTACAACAGACAAGGAAGACCTATGTTAATCCAAAAACCGTACAAATCACTATAGTTGCATTAAGTGCTTTGAAAGTAAAGTATAAAGTGCTCTGTACAGGGGTCCGAATGAGTGTGGGGAGTGTTAGGTAATGATTCAGCAGTCACAACCCCGCTTTCTCCACAACTTTTCTGGTTACCATTTTTGAATGGTTTCTGACCCCTGTTATAGTCAGACCCCAACCCTTACCTGAGTAACTTAGTCCTTACTAAAAATTTTGGATTCTGGCTATTTGTTAGTCACTAGCAGACTATGGGTTTAATTAACATCTATAGCAATCACTCCTAAATCATTTCTCCCTGATGTAAGCACTATATGTTCCCAACAGCTTTCTAGACTCCCATTTTCTGGATGTGTCTCTGACACCTCAAGTAACTTGCCAAACCTCCCCTCCCTGAAAGAACGAGTTATTCCTTCCCCATCAGACGGTACTATTCCTGTTCTTTCTTTTCAAACAGAATGAGCAAATAGTTCATTTTTAGTAGCATCAAACAGTGTTTTCTAAAAATTATTTGTCATAACTGACCCTTTCTTTCCTTAGTACCCGCTCTGCTCCTCTTCGTGCAAACCCTCTTCTGGAGTCTTGCTGTGTGCCGCCTGTTCAGTGTAAGCTTATTTGGAAGTGATCAGACGTCTTATATTTTCGTATCGCCTTGCTGAGATGGGTGCTAATCAGTAAATAAGTGATTTGATAACATGTTGGATAGTTTACAGTGCAATGTGCTACTCTTTACGTGTTTACAATATTAGACCATTTGTTCCTACTATAAATTGTCAAGGAGGTGGAATACCCCTCTGTAAAGAGATGAACAAAATGAGGGTCAAATGTTAAAAGCCTTCCCAAAGATCACAATTTCTAAACAATAGATATCTAAACAATGGTGACATGAAAAAAGGGAATGCTACAGAATGGTCCAGTAACAACCTATCTCCGCATTTACCACATAAACTTTTCAGTCTTTAGGAAAGCCTTCTCTAAATCCTGTCTCCTCGAAGCTCCACATAGCATCAATTTTCTCATTTGTTATCTGAAAATACTGCTGTTCATTCCATAGATGATTGGAAATGATCTACATACTGTCCGAGTAGGGTGACCACCAGTCACACGTGGCTATTTAATTAAAATTAAATAAAATGTAAAATTCAGTTCCTCTGCTACACTATACATTTCAAGGGACTAGTAGCTACCATATTGGACAGAGCATATATTTTCTTTACAGAAAGTGCTATTGGACGGTGCTATGCTACAGCTAGGAACTGCCAAAGATCAGAGAAAGCAATATGAGAACTGAAAACCCAGGCCAGTACTTGGTTGGTTTTGAGTAAAGGTCACTGGGTGAGTGGGAAGCAAGCTGACCTTTGGAACAGTGATGTCACAAAGCACAGCTCACAGTGGCTCTAGAACACCTGGCCTCCCAGGTCACTTCCCCTAACTCCCTCCCATCAAGGGTCCTGAAGCCTCTGCACATGTAGCTCCTGGAGCAGCTGTCTTATTACAATGTCAACACCTCCACCTTCATCTTCCATCTGGGACAAAATAGATTATGCCTCTCTGAGCTCAGCATGGAACTGGCTGCAAGCAACTTTTCTGGGAGAGACTGGTGTGCCTCAGCAAACAAATTTGGGGCTGCTAGGTTATTTGGCTCCGGCTGTGCAAGTTATCCTGAAGATTTCATTTCTTACTTTGCTGGGAATAGGACTGTATGCCTTATGGAAACGAAGTGTTCAGTCATTTCAGGTTATACTCTTTTGTTGCAGGGGGATTTAAATAGTTATATACTGGAACTTGATCAGTTCTCTCCCATATTGCTGCCACCCAGGTTTAAGGCCATGCAGATGAGCAAGGGTGAACCTTCGTCTCTGAAGTTGGCTGAAACTAAATTATCCTTTAAAACTTCCCCTAGTTAGGTTTTGAGCACTAAAAAAAATGCTCTTTCTCACAATGGCCTTTGGCATGTGTTATAATAAAATAGGTTAAACAAGTTCACAACCTGAGAAAGCAGCCTTACCCCCAAATTTATTTGACCATTGCTGAGTGTCTCCTATGCGTCAGACACTGTTTGGGGGACTTTGAATAGCATAGGTGGCGTGAGGATAACTGGGGTCTCTGGTTCTTACTGTGTCCGTAACTGATGAGGCACGTGTACTCACTTAGTCATCATGGTGTTTTCATTACTTCCTTGTTTTAACAAGCTAGGGTTCCGTAACTACACAGTGGCTCTTTTCGGTAATAGGAGTATAATTGGCTGGGATTATGAGAAACATTTAGGATTTTACATACTTCTGTTTAATCACCAATAAGAATACTATACTTACAATATAGTCAAAATGCTTTGAGAACCCTAACAATTCCATGAAATGGATAGAAGTTATTTCCTCTTTTTTTAATTTTAATTGTTCAAGTAGGATAGAAGTTATTTTCATATGACAGAAAAACTGAGGTGAACTGAGCTTGAGTGAAAATGAAAGGAAGCAGGGTTTTAAAAAGGGCTTTCTTAAAGAGTGACTGGCTTACTTGGAAAATGCTAAGAAAAGCTATTACGGGATCATTCTCTAGCATTCATTTATTTCCATATGTCATTTCTGTTGAGGAACCATGGCCGCACGGTCTCAATTTTCCACAACCCTGCACGGGAGGCAGGGCAGGGCGCCTCCACTTTGTAGGCGAGGAAACTTGGCAGAGATTTCCCTGCTGACAGAGACTGGAAAAGCTGAGACTTGAACCCAGCTTTTAGGATTGCAAATCCAATTCTACCCCCCAAATCCCATTTGACGTAATCTAACGGGCCTAAATCCCCGGCATGGATATGTGTGTGTGTATATTCACATACACAAATTTTAACTGGCTAATAGAAAAATATAAGGTAAAATAAAAACTCTCATCTGTAATTCTGGGTTCTGCTCTCATATGGTTAATGTTTAGTTCAATCAGAAGAACGAATTCACAGCCCTCCAGAAACCTCAACCAAGACAAAGCAGCAGAATAACAGAGCAGTAAATAGTATGAGCTCTGGAGTCAACTGCTTGGGCTTAAATCTTGGTTCTACCACTTGTGTGACCAGGAGCAACCACTCAGCCTCAAACCCTGTTTCCTTGTCTGTAGGATGGGTTTGCTAGCAGTGCCTCCCTCAGGGCAGTGAGGACTAAAGGAGGTACTGTATATATAGTATATATAAAGCTCAGCACATAAGTACTCAATAAGCAGTGCTAGTATTACAAGGAAAAAAGATGATTGGTTTTATTTTTCTTATTCTGGCAGGAATCTGTCCTGGTACAGGAAAAAAAGTTTTTTTTTGCCGTGACCAGGAAATACAGTTCTTCAAACCACTGTGTCTCGAAATAACATATATTTAGAAGTCAGAATTCCTGGATTCCAGTACTGGCTCTACCATTTCCAAGTGTCTGACCTTGGACAATGACAGGGTCCAAACTGGAAGGTAACTAAATGGCTATTCAGTCATTTTTTTCTACACAAATAGGTCAGGCACATGCAAGGAAACTCCTAGCAAAGGGACCTGCATGCGGCAAACTCAGCAAAGGGTATCTATTATTACGTCTGTATTAAGTAAGTGCAAATAATAATCCCAGACCCGCCCATCACTCCAGTTTGTGGTAAAGATCAAAAGATGAAATACAGGTGCAGACATTTTGTTAAACAAGGCTGGGTGGAGGGATGAGGGCTTACTTTCACTGTTCGGTTTCTGGGGTTTTTTATTGCATCTATAGCAAACTGGCATTTGATATGAATAAACAAGTAATGTTAAACTTCTGTTGTTTTATTTTAGAAAATGTTGTTGTTTGTAATCACCCTCTACAAACTTTACAAGAAGGGCTCAGATTTTTTTCAGGCTCTGCTGGTCAACCCAGAAGGGACCAGTCTCCCAGTTCAAGACAATAATAATTTCTCCCTGTCCTTGGGGCTGCAAGAGAAAATTCTGAAGAAACTTCAGGTGGTAGAAAGCAAAGTGAAGAACCTGGAGGGGATGATCATTTCCCAAAAACCCGCCACGAAGAGGGACTGCTCCTCTGAGCCCTACTGCAGCTGCTCCGACTGCCAGAGCCCCTTGCCCACATCAGGGTTTACGTCCACGTCTGAAATGTGATGGACTCCCATCTTTCTCCAGAAAAGCACTGTTTCCCTTGCGTGTACAGTGGCGTATCAATAAAGACAGAGAACTAGACTGAAATCACCCTGCAAGGACTGGCTCTCTCTTCAGTACAGCCCAACTTCTCGGGTGTGGTGGGGTGATACTGGGTGTGGTGGTGGTTAAAACCGTTCCTGAGATTGTGGTGCCTGCTCTGCAGGCTGGAGACCATGAGCGGTCATATAGAAGAGGTCAGACAAACGAATCCATAGGACTGGGAAGGTCAGGGATATGGCCTTGGGCTCCATGCTGGAGAAGTTGGCTTGGATATAATCAAAACAGCAAGACGGTGCTGCTGAGGGGCAATGCTGTGGATTGTCCTGTAAAGGTCGGCTGACCCTTGTGCTGGTCTTGGGCCTAAAGGTAACTGTTTGGCCCAGGAGTCTCACTGCATTAATTGCTCAGAAGTGGGCAAGGGTGGGAGTGGACAAAAAAGAATCTGCTTAATTTTATCTAGTTTACTGAAATTTCCTCTGTGTTAAACATTGTGATTGTCCTCAGGAATCTGTCCTGAGTGCTTCAGGCCCACTCGGTTTGGCTGGCTGAAGAGGTAATTTCAGAACAAGGAATTATAATACAGTACGGTTTTAACATCTTGAATTTAGGGGAATTCATATGTGAATCCAACTTGACAGGGAGGCACCTACCTGTCATTACACCCAATTTGAGTGTGTACCCTGACTAGAAAGATGTCCCACTGGGGAACATAGTAGGTGGTCCTCTCAGTGAGTCTCCTATTCCACAAGCCTTAGAGTGTGTGCATTCTTGCCATAATAAACATGATTATACTCATTGAAACACTGTATTTGACATCTAAATGAAACGTTTCACGTGGTATACAAACAGTGATTTATTGTTGTGCTGGACTAAAACTAGCTATGCTATTCAACAGGAGACAAGACGGCAGTTTTCCACGTGGCATCTTCGTAAGGGATTTCTGAGGGTAATTTTGATCATTTTTGTCCAGTGCACTGGTGTTAAAATGCCACCCTTGTGTAAAATGAGACTTCACTGTGCAGTGTACTCAGTGCAAAGAACAGGTCAACACATCAGTGAATACAGGGTGCACCTAGGAAAGGCTTTAAAGAGGGCACATGGAGTTATCCCACCAAGATTTACACAGGAAGGTATCCAGCAGGAAGGTGTTCCGCTGCTGGAATCATCGTAGAGCCATAAAAGAGGGGGGCTTGCCTGGAGAACAAGGAGAGTTTCATGGTGGCTGAAGAACTGACTATTTCCAGAGCCACAATGAAGGATTTTTGCTTCAGGGCAAGACACACTAACCTCATCCTCAAATCAGCTTTTAATTCATGATGTGGCAAATGGAACAGATGGGGGTTATCAACAGTGTGCATTATCTGACAATGTAGGTGAGACGGTTGCTGACCATGCTGCTGCTGCTGAAGTGTCATGCAGTCTTTTAAAGTCAACATCTCAATTTTTGGAGGGGCTCTCTAGATTTCAGTGTCTTTCTGCATTGTTCCAGTCATTTTGACCTGGTTATCACTCTAGGGGCATATCAAAAGGAAGCTGTTTGAAGAAGGGCCTAGAAGAATAGATTGATATCAGGTAATGAAAGGCATTTAAAGGTCCTCTCATATTGTTGGCGATGGACACTTTTAAACAGGGGAGTAACACAGATTTGGTAGTCTGTGTGGAAGACACAGATTGAGCTAAATGCAAAGTGTGGTAGAAACTAATGATGGGGTCACCTTGTTCCTGGACCTCAGCTCCCAAGAAGAGAGGTGATTCACACCACAACCATAAGGGACTAATATCAAGTACTCAATCCCAGCAAGGGCACTGTTTTCTTGACAATAGAGCACTTATGTCCAGGGCACCAACTAAGGGACCTTGGATGCTTGGCACATAATCAAGACAAGATAGGGAAAGGGCTTGAGAGCTATTTTGTCATTCAGGTTAGATGGGGGTAGATGAGCTACCCTTCACCAGTGTCCACTGCTCTAAGGAGGAGACTCCTTGTTCTTGAAATTCAGTCTCTCTTGGCAAAACCCTGACAATACCCTGTATTGAGGCTCCTATTTCAGACTCCAGACAGACCAGCCCCTCTATTAACACTATCTGCAAAGGGGAACAAATGATTTATTCCCTTTCCATAATTCGCTTCTCCCTCCACTGTAATCAGCCCAGCCCAAGCCACCATTCTCTCTCACCTGGTTCTTGAAATGGCCTCCTAACTGGACTCCCTGTTTCCACCTGTGTCCCCATTATCTCTCTCTACACAGTAGTCAGAGATCATGTTGCTACTCCACTCAAAATCTTCCAACCGCTTATTCTTTCACTCTCAGTAAAAGTCAAGTTCTTCAATAAAAGACTGTGTATGACGGCATGATCTGCACTCCCCCTCCTGCTTACTCTCCATACGCTCTCACAAGTCCTCAAATATGGGAAGATGCATTGTCCCACCTTCGGGCCTTTGCACTTGCTGTTCAAAGCACACTTTGTGCAAGGCACACTTTTCCCAGATACTCTGGCAGCTTCTCTCACTTTCGTTGGGTCTGTGCTCAATTGTCAGCTATTCTGACAGGTTTTCCTGGACCATCTTACATAAAGTAGTGCCCTTCATGCCAACACACTGTTTTCCCCTTTCCCTACTTTTCCATCAGAGTATTCACCACCTCCTCCACTTTTTCTGTTCCATATTTGCTTATCTATCAACCCCCATCCACCCCAGCCCACTAAGTAAGCTTCATGAGAGGAAAGGTTCACTGCTATATGCCAAGCACCTACGATAGTGTCTGGTACTTAGCAGACACTCAATATTTATTGACTGAATGAGTGAATTACAGTTGTAACTTTTCAAAACTTTATACCAGCTTCTTCCTTAGTATCTTCAGATACATGGGTCCAGATCAACACTATGATAATAATTCTCATGAGTATGGGGAGCTAGCAGCTAATCTTTATTGGGCAAGCCAGATACACTGCTAAGAGATTTGCATGACGTTTCTCATTTGATCCTCACGATATGAGAAAGCAAATACTATTTTCTCTTTTTACTGATAAGGAACTGATGCACAGAGAGGTTAAGCAACTTGCTAGAATGTGGTACAGTTGTGACCGGCACTCAAGCATCTGAACTAAACCTGTGCTCTTAGCCACAAAGTTTGGGTGACAGGAGCTTCTGTGAGGCTTTGCGGCAAGTGCACCAGGCTGGACGGACCTGGACAGATAAAGACAAGGGGACTGAAGAGGGCATAGTGATGACAGCCCAAGGGAGAGAGAATTTTGAAAAAGGGTTTATCCCCTCGTGTTTTAAGTTGATAGCTAGTTTTCATCATTAACTTAAATAGTTGCAATGGATGCAAATGTTGGCAAATTATTATAATGACAATTTAAGACAAGACTGTAAAGTTACTTTTTATAATGCATCCCACAGAATCTACAAAACAATTGAATAACCACTATCATCCACTTAAAATTACACAAATAAGCTCTTTAACATTTGTTAACTGTATATTTTTTTAGCATCTCTAATTTACATTTCTATTCCACTTCCCCATTAAATGTTATCCAAATGTAACATTTTGTTAGAAAGCCCTTTAATCATGCTTGAAATAAAAGTATGTACATATTAAAGTAGAATCTAAAAAATTTTCCTGTAATAGGAAATAGGTCTACCTATTAGAAAGAATTCTTTGAATTGACTAATCATTATAATTATCATTACAATGAATGACTTAAAAATCTGCACAAAATAATATCACAAATTTTAATACATAAACATAAAATGTAAAAATCTACTGGAAATGCATCTCTCAGTGAAGTGGATAGGGCTTCCCCACCAATTAATTCACGTGTCTGAATGACTGCTTTTTACTGATAGACTTTTTGTTCTCATAGATACAGTGCTGGGAAATATCACTCACACTAAAAGCCAGGAATGCTAGTTTTCTTATAGGAACGTCAATCAATTCTTTGTTTTCCTTCTGAGTTATATGCCAAACATCATATGATGTTCTTTGATTAGCTGACAGTTCAATTAGGCCCACCACCATTTCTGTTGAAAGCCAAGAACTGGAAGCAATTTGACTTGCAAAATAATTTGTTATCCTGTCAATAGAATCCATCACTTTCCAAAGTGACTTTTAAGTATATGATTACTCTCATTCTGAAGCATATAGGAAGAATTGGGAAATTCAGGATACTGTTAATCTCAACACATCTTTAGCACTACAATTTCACTGTAATTTAAATATATTTTAGTTGCAGCTGCAGATTTAGCTCGATTCATAATAAATGATTGTGCAAATTAGCAATGCCACTCTTTGTCTATCCAATTAACCAAGTCAGACATATCTTCGGTGAGAAAAAAATTTCACTTTTCAAATCAAACAAATGTGTTAACAGTCGTTCCTGTGACCACATTTCACTTCTGAATTCCAAGACACAGATATGGCGTTCTGCTTTGATAGGAGTTTGTCCCTAGATTAAGTAAGGCCCTTTCAGTTCAGGTATTTCTAACCTACGCTATCCCTGCTTTGCTCCAGAGCACTCTCTTGGGCAAAATGCCGCCTTTGACTCACTTGTGCCGGCGAGGCGAGATGTTTACTGAAAATCTCATCACTACCGACAGTTCTCTAACATGTCAGAATTCAGAACACCCGGTTACAGGCCAAAATAGGGCACCTTTAATACCTAGTCTCGCTGTTCACTATACCTTTAATCTTAAGGTATTCCAGGATGAACATACCACAGTCCGAATAGCATTAGTTAGAGGAATGGTCTCTAGAGCCTGGGACGTCGGCTCCTCTCGATCTTCCCAGCTATTTCAGGGCTCGTGGAGCAGTCCTTTCTGCGTTAGTTCCCGCTCAGTCTCACTACCCTGGCCGGGAAAACGCGGCTCAGGCCGCAGTCCATCCGGGCAAGCCCCGAAGCGAAGGGATGCAGTCGTTGCTCCGGAAGCTAGAGAGCGGAGAGCTCTGGCGCGCTGCGGGGCTCGGGACGTAAGCCGGAACCCTCAGCAGGAACTCGGCTTGCAAGGGAAGGGACAGAATGTTGGTGTAACGCAGCTCTGCAAGATCAGTCCGGGGCGGAGCTGGGGTTGGCGGAGGCGGAGCCCGGCCTCTGGGCATCAGTCCGCCTCCGGCCGGAAGTGAGGGGGGCGGGAGCTGTCTTCTTCCGGCAGACACTAGGCGGCACCTAAGGGGCGTCGGCACGGGGAAGAGTGTTTGTGTAACACTGCCTGCTGCGCTTAGGGGGTGGAATGGAGGCGGTTGTCAGTGCAGGGGCTCTCGGGAGGGACGGATATAGCTGTGACACTGCCGCGACGCTTTGAGGGACTGTGTTGGTGTGGTACCGGTGCACGCTTAAAGGAGCAGGCGGAACCAGATGGCCATGGGCATGTGGGCATCTCTGGACCCACTGTGGGAGATCCCAGCCGAGAAGCGTATCTTTGGGGCCGTGCTCCTCTTCTCCTGGACGGTGTATCTCTGGGAGACCTTCCTAGCACAGCGTCAGGTGAGCCTAGACAGGGCCCATCTAACCCCGACACGCCGCCAGCTCTAGGCCAGTCACGGTCTCGACCCCGAGTCCCTGAATGCTGCTGCCCCAGTACCCAGCCTCGGCCCTGTGGGTCCCTACTGAGCTTCCTAACTTGGTCCGATGATGGGATTGGTCTCGAGAGGACCTGGTGCTCCAGGGACGTTTTCCGCAACGTGATCGTGGGATTCGGGCGGATTAGGGCCTGGTGAAAGGGAAAGCAGGCTGCCGCCTCGTCAGCCTTTAGCTTTTGTGCCTGCCCCACAGCTTCCCTAAGGTCCCCAGACTTCTCTTTTTTTATCTTTGGCAGCGACCCATAAACCTTCAAAGGGTGATACTAACATTTTACAATCAGCTTCCTCAAGACGTTTGTATAATCATGTTCAACCATAGAATCAGGAAACCATTTTATGAAAATAAAGGTTTCATAAACCTTCCAAGAATCTGAACTCTTTTCCCTTAAAAAAAAAAAAAGGAGTATGTTGTTTTATTACCCAGACAACAATATTTCCTTGTTTAAACAATTAAAACAGTAAAGTAGAAAGGGAAAGTTACTCAGAATTCCCTGGGGATGAGCATAATTCACAGCTGGATGGATTAGAGAGCTGAACTTTTGAATGAGATAGGTTTTTAAGTTTAACTGACTGTTTTATTGCCATCTCTCACTGCTGGTTTGCTTTACTTACATTCTTCTCTGTTGCTGAATTATGTCAACTATGATGGTTAGAAAAACCTTTCTCTGTTTAACCCCTGCAACACTCTTTCTTGAGCGTTACAGTCTTTTTCCTCTGAAAATTTCTTCTCATTTTACATTTGCATGAATCTTTAAATTGAAATTTTTAATTTATCTATGTCTGTCAATATTTGGGTTGTATCTTGATCTCTTTTTCCATCCAGCATATTCAAAGAGGTGTTAAGATGAAAAAAGCATTAGTTTCTCTCACCTAATGTTCTCTGACCCAATAGCTCTTTGGATAGCTTCATTAGTACAGAATCTTATAGGCCAAAGTATTGAGAAGATACTTTGCATAAAGTAAACACACAGGCATGGTATTGAACATTTCACTTTCGTACTTTAATAATAGACCTAGTTACAGTAACTACTTTTCTGTAGTATCTTTACTCAGTTATGTTTTAATGTAACACCTCTTAGCGAGGGTTTGGTAAGATGCACAACAATAGAGAAGCCGTTTGTCTTAAAACCATTTTAGAAGATGCTGTCCATTACCTTGTTCGGTATCTGTTCCCTGTATTATGTCCCATGGGCTGAAATTACCTTTCCAAATTTTATGTAATGAAAAAGTTTGTCTTTCTTGAAGACAATATGTTTCTATCTGTTATTCCTCAAATTTCTCTTAATTTGGCTTCTAGAACCAGATGTAATTATTAGCCACAATATCTGTTCATACTCATGGTTAGCATATTTGCTTCCTTCTTTCATCCACGAATTTGTTTTCTACATTACAGAATGTATGTTACACCTGAATTGAGTGGCACCCTTTGCAATGTCACAATTTTGGTTTATTTATGCAAACTGAAATGTGATGACAGCCCTGATTTTAATCTTACCTAGTCAGCTAGCCTCAGATTCTCTGTTCTTTTACTTTCCTCATCAGTTGTTTTAGTGGACAATGTGCTCGATCAGATGCAACTTTTGTGTATATGTAAAGTAAATTCAACAGGGTTAAGAGACAAGTTAATGCTGTAAGCCATTCAGTGTTGATCCTAAGTAACTATTGTAATAAATAATGAGTTGGTTTGACTGTTTCATTAAAGTGTTTTCAAAATATTTCAGAGACGAATATATAAAACAACAACTCATGTACCACTGGAGTTAGGACAGATCATGGATTCAGAAACGTTTGAGAAGTCTCGACTCTATCAGCTGGATAAAAGTACCTTCAGCTTCTGGTCAGGACTCTACTCAGAGATTGAAGGCACTGTGAGTACTTTATGTCTTGAAAAGACAATCTGTCCAGTAGTTTAATACTTTGTATGTTTGTTTTCCTTTTTGTATTCTTGTGATACAAAAGAGGATATCACATCTACAAATCCCAGAATGCTTTCCTGGCCTTTATTATTGATAGAATAGGTGTGAAGCAAAAGACTCAGAAACGTAACTGTTTAGTTATGATTTTGCTAACATATGGAATCTAGTGAACAAAACAAACTAACAAGCAAAACAGAAACAGGCTCAAAACAGACTGACAGTTGTCAGAGGGGAGGGGTGTTGGGGGATGGGTGAAAAAGATGAAGAAATTAAGGAAAAAAAACACCTCATAGACACAGACAACCAGAGGGAAAGGGGGTGGGGGTGGAAAAGGGTAAAGGGGGATACATGGTGATAGAAGGAGACTTGACTTGGGGTGGGGAACACACAATGCAACGTGCAGATGATGTGTTGTAGAACTGTACACTTGAAACCTGTAGAATTTTATTAACCAATGTTACCCCAATAAGTTCAATAAAACTTTTTTTTTAAACTTTCTGGGGAAAACAATTATAGAATATGGCAACTGTCACCAAGGCCAGGTATGAAAAATCTTATGTTGTAGGTTATTCTCATAGCCGTCCCTACCTATCTTCACGCCTCCGTCCTAACACTACAGCCTGTCTTCCACGTTGCAGCCCCAGGAACTCTGTAGAACCATTTTGATCATGTTATTCTCCTCCAGGGTGCAGTCCAAATTTCTGTGTGGTTTGTGAGGTGATTTTTGCTTACTGGAGCCTCATCTTTTTATTTCTTCCCGCAAATTCTTTCCCCTTCTTTACTGTGCTTGTACCCAAGTTGGTTTCCTATGACTCTGAGTCTTTTTACACGTGAGTATCTCTGTCTGGGGTACCCTTTCTCTCCCTCTTCAGTGCCGCTCACTCGCTGGAGGCTGATTAATCCCTGCTGTTCCGTTGGGGTCCAGCTGAGACAGATCTCTTCTAAGGAGCCACTGGAAACTTCTCCTGTCCCTCAAGCCTGCAGAAAGTAGCATCCTGTTGTTATTCCTGTCAGAGTACTTACCAGGCTGTATTGAATGTGCCTGTTTAGTGGACAGGCTGGTCGTTCCTTAAAGAAAGGGTTCTTTAAAGTCTCCTCAGCATTTTATGCCTAGTGCCTAGCTTGTAATAAGCACATAATTCATATTTATTGAATGAAACAGTGAGTGACAGATCATCTTTATTTAGCAAAACAGGGCTGGTCTTAACCTCTGTGCTAGAAGAGGAGGCTGTGGAGTGTAGACTAGAGAGAGCACTGTTTCTCAGTCTGGTTTTCACGCTCCTCCCTGGCCCCTGACCATGTACCTTTTTAGACACTTTTTTTCCTAATTGTCCCTCCGTGAAATTTTAATACCACAGATAACACTGTGTATCTGTTTTGGTACCATACATATGTATATATGTGCTTATAAAATGAGTAAGATTTTTTCTACCCCAAAACCCATTTCTTGGTTTTCCACCCCTGGGAACAGTTGAAAGTGCATGATGCGGAAGTTAAGAGCAGACTCTGGCTTGAGTTTGAATCTTAGCTCTACCATACTGAGTATGTGACCACAAGTGAGTGACTCAGTGTTTTTCTAGCTCTTTTTTCTCATCTGCTAAAATTGCATGGTAATATTAGTTCCTCATTCATAGTGGTGTTGAGGGGATTAAATGAGTTAATATTTGTAAGATGCTTAGAACAGTGCCTGATCCACTGTAAGTGCACCATAAGCCTTGGCTATTACTAGTTCCATCATTATGATCATGCTTATTATCTCTTCCTCCAGAGCTGTTTTAGGTCCCCACTGCCACTAAGGGAAAGATTCCTCATTGAAAATAGTTGAGATCAGCTATCAGTTAAAGAGAGGAAACTGACTGTTGGTAGCTTTAGTACATGATGACAAAATTACTTATCTGGTCACAAAGTCTGCCTTGACAGACATGGAACAGTAAGACTAATGCAGTTAGAACCAGGTTATTAGAAACCTCTCCCATTTCCTCAACGTGATGGAAAATGGCAAAACTTCTGGAAGAGTTATGTCTTGGAATTAATAAATGATCTGAAAAATAAAATTGCAGTGGCTTTTGGGATAGACAGTGAATACTAGTTATTAGTCTTTTCAGTATTGATTTTTTAAATTATATTTTTACTAGTCTAAGCCAAGTTTAGTTACTGAGATACGGAAGATTGGTATTCAAATGTGATGCCTTCCACCCTGGTCAAGTAGCCCAGTAGGTTGGAGCATTGTCCTATACAACAAAAGGTTATAAGTTTGATTCCCAGTCAGGACACATGCCTAGGTTGTGGGTTCGATCCCCGGTGGGGCCATGTGCTGGAGGCAACCAATCGGTGTTTCTCTCTCATATTGATATTTTTTTTTCTCTCTCTCCCTTCTTCTCTCCTTCTAAAGCCAATAAAACGTATCTTTAAGAACAAAACAAAACAAAACTTGATGCCTTCCAACCACTCCAGGAAAGCCAGCATTATTGAGGATTGTATTTGATTTTGGTTACTTTATCTGAAGCATTCCTTCTGTTAGGGACAGTACCTGGGTAGGAAATCAGCCCTCAGAGAGGGATGGAAGTAGAGATGGGAAAGTTAGACACTGTCACCTTCCCTCGCTGACGTTTGACTCTTAGAAGTCCTTTGACTTATCCCCACAGGGCCATTATGAAATGACAGGAAAAATATCTTCAGTCTCCTTGTTGTCGTTAGTAAGACAGTTCCAGGAGAGATGGGCAACAGCTTGGTCGTTGCAGCCAGTGACCATGGGAGTGGCTCCGTGTGTCCTAGGGGAGGACGGGGCAGGGGAGTACGAGTGTGGAATAGGAGCTTTGTGATCTGCTGTGGCTCAGACTAGAAGCAGTACTGATGGGCGAACCTGGGAACAGCAGTGGTCACCATTACAACGGGTGTGTGAGTAGTGATTTTCACTTCATACACTGTTTCTATTGTATTTGACGTTCACGACAGTGCTCTGAGGTAGGAAGTGTAGGCATTATCATTCCCTTTTTATGGGTGAGAAAGCGAAGGCTCAGGGAAATTAAATGGCTTGTCCATTTATTAAAGACCAGGTGACTCTAGTAAAGGGGAGAGCTAGGTTCCAAACTCCGCTCTTCTGAATCTTTAAAATTACATTAAGAAACCATTCTTGAGACTCCAGGGACTGCAGCATGAATGGGCTAAATTTATCCTTGGGGAATTAGTAGCTGCATTGACCAACAGGTGAGGAAGCGCTTTGTGTTACTTTGAAGTCCTTTTCTGTTTGAAAAAAGTTCACTAATGCCTGTGTTGTGCTGATTAAAATCAATAGGCTTATATGCTTTGGTCACAAAGAACAAGTACAAAGATTAATTTAGACTTTTTATTTTTTGTCTTGGTACTTTCTACCTGGGGGAACATAAGCAGAGGCCTTGTGTGACCACAGGTACCACCGTGCCACACATTTGTGACAGAGCAACCAGAGAGAAGAAGTCCAGCCTCTCTGAGACCGACTTCCGTGGCGCCTCATAGATGTCCTCTCAGGAAATGGAATGGATGGCTGGGGAGTAGAGTAGGGCAGAGTAGAAAAGTCCAAATCGTTGCTTCTTTAGTTTCTGCGTGGTTCTGGGTGAGCAGTTTAGCATCTTTGAGCCTCACTTTTCTCCTCTTTACGATGAAAAAAAGTATGTAGATATTAAACCAGATCTCATGGTTATGGCAAGGACTGAGTAACGTCATGTAAATGAACACCTACTGTGCCTAATACAGCAGATACTATGGTAATTACAGCAATTACCATATTGCCTAAAGAGAGCAATATGGTCTCTTTAGGCACATTAACCTTTCTGAGTTTCAGTTGCCTCATCTGTAAAATAGAGATGACTATGCTCTTGCCCTGCCTGCTTTTCAAAGCTTCAGTGACATAATACATATAAAAGCACTGGACTCGTTTTTGCTGAGATCATCAGTTCTTTTTGTAGGACATCCCCAGGAGCATGCTCAGTGAGATGGCCAATATAGAGGAAGTTTACTGTTCACTGTGCTTTGGTTTTCATTCCCCAGAGTGTACTAGACAGGTTGCAACAGCAGTATCCAAATGCATTCATAGATGCTTTCAAAGTTCATATGAAACTGCCCTTGATACTTACTTAAAAGCTGGAGCTTTAATATTCCTTCACTAAAGGCATTATAAACCCTTAATTCTGTATTATTAGTACTGAGAGTAGGAGGAAACAGATGCCATCCCCAGTCAATTAGTGCAACAAGTAGAGCATATACCGTGCACTGATGCCAGCACGTGTCTTTTGGGAAAAGAATGTACGTCCATAATTGACTTAATTGTAGTAATGTGGAAATAGCTGGGCCTAGAGCTAAGGGAGCCATTAAAAGCAATTTATTAAAACAGTGATTTTCAAATTTTGGTGTATATCAGATTTTCCTGGAGATTGCTAGGCTCATTTCTAGTTTCTCATTCAGTAGTTCTGGGGTAGAGTCCGAGTATTTGCATTTCTAACTCACTCCTTGGTGATGCTGATGCTGCTGTCGAGAGCCTGTATTTGAGACCCATGATATTAAGCCAGCCCAGCTTACTGGTAAAAATCTAAAAAGATGAACCGCACCAAGTGTGAGTGAGGTTGTGGGGAAACAGGAACACTCAGATACTGCTGATGGGAGTGTAATTTGATATAAATACTTTAGAGAACAAGCCGATAACACTGAATAAAGTTAAAACTCACCAAGGATAGATCTAAAAAATATAGAGTGTAAAAAGCAAGTTGTACAATATCAAGTCATTTATACACATTCTTAAAAAGCATGTATAAACAAACCACTGTATTATTTACGGATTCATATCTAAAAGTGCAGAGTAGGTCGGGAGGACACCCGTGAGCTACATCACAGTGCCCCAGACCCTCAGAGCACGAGGCGCCGCGACGGAACTGGTGGGAGAGGGAGCGTCTGCCCAAGCAGGGTGATCACTGTGCTCCTGAGGCTCCACGGAGAGAAACAATAAATGATTCCTCTTAACAAAATGAATCCCACAAACTTAGTATCTGTTGTGAGTAACATGTACTCTTTTCGAATTTTAAGAGCTGCTGCTTCATTTGAACGTCCACGTGATTTGGTGAATACCTCTTTTCATGTATCTGTCCAAGAGAAAGGGAGCACTGAGAAGGGGGCCTGCTTTGCTGTAAGCCTGCCTCCTGCCTCAGGAGTCCCCTTTTCCTCACCTGGCGAAGGCGCAGATGACCCATTCTGCCCCAGTTCGTTAAGTGGACACGACTGGCACTTATACCAATATGACACTTTGTCCTGGCTGAAAAGGTTATTTCCTGTTAAGGAGAAGCCAGTTATGGAGGCATAAAGCTTGGTTTGGATTCCATTTCTGTCACTCATGAGCTGTGGGAGTTTGGACAAGTTTTTCAGCCTTTCTAAGCTTGTTTCCTGGCTGTGGTCCAGCGAGGTTGCGGGGAGTTTGTCTGCACTCAGGCTGCAGCGTCTTCAGCGGACGTGATCAGACAGGGGGCCTGGGCCCTGTCTCTTGGTGGAGTGGAAAATTTGAGCCAGTGAAGCCAAATCCTTGTAGAAGGCAGCATGTAGATTATTTTTTTAATCCTTTGTTGTGGTTTTTTGGCAAAAGCTTTTTTTAAATAGCTTTATGGGGAGATATATAATTTATGTATCATGCAATTCATCCACATAAAATGTATGGGCAAAAACCTTTTAACAGTCTAAATTTAGTATCTCAGTTGGTTTGTATTCATCAAAATGTATATTTTATCCTCAATGAGATGGGTCCTTTTTTGTTTATAACATGATAGCTTCTGGTACTGCTCAAATGTGAGCAAACTATGCTTTGTTTTATAGCTTATTCTTCTCTTTGGAGGAATCCCTTATCTCTGGAGACTTTCTGGACGGTTCTGCAGCAGTGCTGGCTTTGGGCCAGAATATGAGGTATGTACACCCTCTTCTTAACTTCCTTGGCTCTAAGGTGACACCTCTCCTCTGTGTGCTCATTTTGTTTGTGAGCCAGTCATCTCCCTCGCAGACACAAGGGGGCCGGGTAAGGTAATCTTTGGTGAGGCAGCTGCTTCTCAGAACAACTCTAGGCAACGAGTGGGGAAGCACGAATGTTGTTGAACACTAAGCAGGTTCTCTGTGCCACACAACTGAGCAGATGCTTCAGGCGAAGACAGAGAGTGTATCTCCTACAGTTTCCACTGAGCTGCTTGGCTTGGCCACCTACCCTTCCAGGAACTCGAGTGTAAAGCAAAGCCTTGAACTTGAGACTTCCCACCCGTAATGGGTGTTGGGACACTGCTTCCTGACTTTTCCTTAGAAATCGTCATGTCTTCCCCCCGCCCCCCCCCCCCCCGCCCTGATTCCTTTTTGAAATGCTGGATCTCTTTTACGTGGAAAGGTACCTTGCGCTTTCATTCAGTTCATCTGATGTCCCTTTTCTGTGTGTATGCCTTTTTCTAAAGCGGCCGAGTTCTTTTATGACCCCTTTTCCTGTGACGTCTCTCTGTCTTCACAGACTCTTTCTCCTGACCTGTTACATGTGGTCTTGCGGTTTCCTTACATAATCTCTGCATTGTTTCAAAAAGGATTTAAAGTGGTTTTATGTAATGTCACGGCTGGCTCCTTTTTCAGTTCTCACCCTAAACGTCACTTTCTCAGAGAGGCTTTCCCTGACCGCTGCATCTAGAATACAATTCACCTGATGCTCTTGGTGAAGCCCGTCACCGTATTTTGTTTTCTTCATAAAGGCACTTACCACTGTCTGCAGCTACTTTGTTGATTTGTTTTCTTTATCTCCTTGACAGGAATTTTAAGCTCTAAAGGCACAGAGACCTTTTATACATGTGTCCTTCATTGCTATGTCACTAGTGCTAGGACAATGCCAGTCACAGAGTAGGTACTCCGTAAATATTTATTGAATGAATGAACACAATTTATATACATATGTGCATTAAACTATTTCTTAACTGAATGGGACATATTTTATATAATGTTCTGAGATGATATTTTTGCATTTAGCAATGTTTTAATTAGAGACCTATTCCTGTCTGTATATATAAGTCTTTGTTTGCTTTAATGTCCACATGATGTTGGCTGTACTTTCTTGCACAGTTCTGGTATACACAAATTTCAATCGCCACGGCTTAGTTAAATAACACCAGTCCCTTAACAACGTGGTTCAGATTTCAGTTACCGTAGCATATTATGTGAGTAACTGCATAAAGCACAGACTTCCCTGCTAGCTCTTTGGTCCACAGATCACTTGCAAATAACAGATGCTCAGAATCGTCAGTGACCAATCACTTCACTTTTTTCAAAGTATTTCAGCGAGTGGTCAACCTGTTAGTCAGTTACGCAGAGTGCGTGTTCTGTGGCCTCCTGGTCTCCCAGCTACATATCCGCATGACATTTTACAAAGAAATGAGTAATTGAAAGGGAATTGGCTAACAAAGATGAAAGTTTAGTGGGAAATGGAAAATGGTTACACCGAAGTGAAATTCAAATCTAACATGCGGGAAGGTGTAGACGAAATAGCTGCCCCCGGGAAGGCTGACCCTGCTGCCCAGAGAGAGGTTAGACGTGCAGCCAGAAGAACTCAGTGAAGGTGGCATGGGTATACGTGAGGAGGGCGGTTTTGACGAAAAGGATGAAGATGTCCCAGAGGTGGCGTACTGGCAGAAACTCACATTTGAGGACCTCAGAAACATTTTATGACATTGAAAACTCAGGGGGTGAAATGTTCAAAGCTGATGTAAACTTTGAGATGGCGAGCATTGTCCAAACTGCTTAAAGAAATAAACACTAATTATTACTAAATGAGTGTTAGTTTTATTCTTCCATATCCTTACATATTTAGAACAGACAGTGGGAGATTGCCAACATTTCAATGACCACTTAATCATTTTTTAGGTTGATTATTAAGATATGTTGATAAACTAGGGAGAATGGGGGATGTTTCAGAAGACGATAGATGAGCAAGTTCTGGATTTTCAAATCTTCAAATCTTTAAATCATAACTGTCTGTATGACTTCAGGTAACTTTCATACAGTTCCTGTGTAATACGAGAGGACTTATTTTAGTACCCCCTTCTCTAGCAAGTAAATGTTGAAGGTATAGATGATGTTTCAGACCTTGTATTACCCACAGAAACAAGCACATTGCTTGAGATCTAGTAAGTACTCAGCAAGTACTCATAGATTTGTTCCCCAGTAATTCATTTTAAGAATGAATTAATATTACACTATAAAAACTGCCGTTTTTTTTTTTTCCTCGTGTTTAGATCACTCAGTCCTTGGTGTTTCTGCTGATGGCTACACTCTTCAGTGCGTTGACTGGTTTGCCGTGGAGTCTTTATAATACTTTTGTGATAGAAGAAAAACATGGTTTCAATCAGCAGGTATGGTAGAGAATGCAAATGTTCTCTTTTTAAATGTGAAGACCTTTTGTGCCCTTGTCTTCTGCCAGTAATAGTTGGAACATAATTTGCTGTTTTAGAGAGTGAGTTAAATGAGAAAAAAGAACTGCATATGGTAAAGAGCATAGTTGAAGGTCTTGCCGTTAACTCTTCTAGCACTAATGTCTAGTGTTTTTCAGCTAATGACATTTAAATGTTTATTTTAAACTGTAAAATGCAAGACACTTATTGTCTTAGGTTGCTTAGCGTCATGTATTATAGTCTCACTGCCTTTTAATTTCTTTAATTGCTTTAATAATGTATCTTTTTATATTCATTTAAAAAGCAATTTCTCATTTTCTTATGATGATGTTTTCTTTTTTCAGACTTTGGGATTCTTCATAAAAGATGCCATCAAAAAATTTATTGTAACTCAGTGCATTTTATTGCCTGTGTCTTCACTTCTGCTTTACATTATTAAAATTGGGGGTGACTATTTTTTTATTTATGCCTGGCTGTTCACATTAGTTGTTTCTCTGGTGAGTAAAATTTTTGTTTCATTTTTTTTACAAAGTTCCTTGGTGTGATAAGTATAGTTTAGACTTCACTGGCACATAAACAGTTCTTAAGAAGCAGATGAAATATAAATAGGTGCTCATAAATTCCCCTCTTGGTTTCTGGTTTTGGTTATTAAAATAGAATTGACTCTGACAGATTGTTCTCCTTCTGTTGACTATTACAGATCCTAGAGGCTAGTTGTTACTTATAATGATCCAGTTGTCAGGCAGTTTGGGGCTATGCATTGATGGGTTGCCACCAGAACGGATGACATGGTTTGATAACGTAGTGACTCTTAACTGAACTCCGTTGCCTAAAAATCATGGCTGTTGTGAAGAGAAGAGATTGAAGAGGGACAAGACGAAAAAAAGCATAAACTTAGCTGGTTTTTCTTTGCCTTCCCTCCTCCTAGCTCCCTTTTCCCTCTCTCCCTTGTCCCATCTCTGCCCCTTTTTCTGTTTTCCTTTCCCCTTCCTCTCCCCTTCTCTCCCCGACTGGCACCGCTCCTCGTCTCTCTTCCTTCTCCCTCCCTTTTTTGCTCGTTCCCCCTTCATTTGCCCTCTCTCGCATCTTCTTTTCCTCTTCTCCTTCCCAAATTCTAAACTGCTTCACAACACAAACACTATAGCACAATCAAAATTGTCTGTTGATAGCCTGTAGAAAATACCATCTATCATCTCTTAACTCCACCGATGAGGAGGTTTATCTTAGCCTGAACTACAGTGGTGCTCATTGTTTCACTTCCCACTGGTGGGATCAAGATCAGAAAATGGGCACTGGTTTGATTTACAAGTATCTGTTGTATAGCAAACTGAAGTGAGAGGAACAGAGCACAGGAAATGCTTTCAAAATGCTTAAGGAAGTGCTGTTTCAACTGAAGTGCACAGTTGTGACCTGCAGGTAATTAATTTTAGCGGACCAACCAAATAACAGACAGCACACAGTCAAGCTCTAGTAATTATTTTTTAGCAAAGACTTCAGGTCTATCATGGTTACTTTGAAAGGCAGAATTCCAAGTTATTATGGGCTTATGAAGTGTCAGAAATCCCTAGGATAGTTTTGAATGGATCATTTGACTTTTCGGTTATTACCACCTAGAGACTACTCATTTTGATTTGATTCATCGAACACTTAATATCTGGTACGATATGGGGCTGGGAATATCAGAGCAAGAAAGATAAGGTCCCTGTTCTCAAGACTAGGATCACATAGCTGTTTTAATGTCATTGAATTTGTATAATGAGTAGTTTTTCTTTAAGAACATATTCATAGGTTGTTCTGACATTTATTTTTTAGGTGCTTGTCACAATCTATGCTGATTATATTGCCCCTTTATTTGACAAATTTACACCTCTACCTGAGGGACAGCTTAAACAAGAAATTGAAGTAATGGCAAAGAGTATTGACTTTCCTTTGACTAAGGTGTATGTTGTTGAAGGTAAGGCTACTGGGGGTAAGAAGATTTCATTTGACTCGCTTGTTTTATTTGAGTACTTTATTCTTAAAACTTTAATAAATGAACAAATCAGTGTTGGGGTTTTTTGTTTTTTGTTTTTTGTTTTTCAGATTTTTATCTAAAGGTTAGGATTTTACATTTTGGCTCTTTAAGATTGATAGGAATAGATGACCTAGTTCACAGACATGTCATCAAACCAGTGGCCTGATACCGAATCCTGCTCTTGCCCGAAGCTGTGTTTGGTTGGCTTTTCAGTACTGTTTTTAATTTTGGGCCAAGGCCTTAATCGCTCCTTGTTATATCGTGTATATTAGCCTGATTTAGGTAACTTCTGTTACCTGTCTGGCTCCTAGTAATTAACTTGGACTCTTGCATAGTCAGATTCCATTTAATACTAGTTTGGGGGCTCCTAAACAAAACCATTATTATTGGCTTTGTCTCCTTCAATAAAACTTCAGTGTCTCTGAAGGAGGTCTCTGATTGCACCTGCAGATTACCAAAAACTGTACCATTATTGGGTAGAAGTAAGCTGTCTTATTAGCTTACGTAAGACTACTAAAGTCTCAAGGAAGCTTACAGAGATGTGGACTAACACTATTGTGTGGTACCATGACTTTCAGAATCTGTAAACTAAAATCCCTGTAAATAAATGAGACCGGTTCTTCCTCTGCTGCTTACCAGCTGTGGAATCCTGCACAAGTCACTTCATCCCTCTAGGTTTCAGCTTTGCTTCCTCTAAACCATGGTTTTGGCAAACGTTTTCTGTAAAGGCCTCGATAGAAAAGCGTAGGCTTTGCACGCCACAGGTTACCTGCCACAGCTACTTAACTCTGTCATTATAGTAACAAAGCAGTCACAGGTAGTACATAAACACATGAGCATGGCTGTGTTCTAATAAAAATTTATTCATAAAAATAAATGGCAGATTGAATTGGGCCTGCAAGCCATTGTTTGCCCATCCCTCCTCTAAACTAAAAAGTCACCAATTGGATGAAGGAGTAGAAACCAAAATGTATGTAATTGAGGGGCCCAGGGAGAACAGAGGTGGCCATAACTGGAAAGAATGAATTAACAGTAACTAGGAGTGTATAGAAATCTTACACTTTGGTTAGCTTCTGAGGTTATACAGCCAAACTAAAGGTGCAGTCAGAACATTTCTGTGGGGAAACGTTAGGAGAATAAGCTAATTCATATTTCTTTAGCCTCTGAGATCACTGCTCTTTTATTTAATATTAAACTAGTAGCACACTAATCAGTACAGCAGTTTCTGAGGGTCTTTTACTGAAGGGGCAAACTAATCTGATCACTTCAGTTATAATCAGATAGCATGAAATGACAGTTAATGGTAACAGAGGTATTTGATAGCTGTGTAAGTGCTATGTGGTTTCAGGTGAAGTAGTCAGGGAGGACCTTATGTAGGGTTATAATATAAGCTAGGACCTTATAGAAAATCAAGATTTGAGTAGGTGGAGGGGTAGAATTTCAGAGGTCAGGTTGTGGAGTCAGTAGTCTTGGGTTTGAATCCTCGCTCTATCACAGTTACCTTGTGAATTTGAGCAACTTAACTTTGCTAAACAGAAGTTTACTCACTGGTAATGTATGCATTTATTGTTAATAATGTTAACAGTCCTCAAAAATATTTTGAATGAATGAGTGTTCTTACTAACAATAACAACACACATTACAGATTTGTAAATTCATAGGAATATTGCAGTGAGGAGCCAAGATTCCTGCTCCCAGAAAATATCAGATAGCAAGTGCTGAGCAGAGAATTAAACTAGTGTGAAGAATTACTGAGTAGATACTTTAGAGTGGGTCATCAGGCAAGACCTCTCTGAGCAAGTGAATTTAAGCTAAGACCTGAAGGAAGGAGCCATGCCTGCTGACATCAATAGAAAGACCTTCCAGAGCTTTGAGTCTTTAGGAAACAGATAGAAGTCCAGTGTGGCTGCCATATTACAGTAGAGTGTTAGGACATGAAATCTGATATAGGCAAGAGTCTGACCACAAAGACTTTTGTAAATCAGGGGAAGGAGCTTGGATTTTAAGTTCAAGGGAAAAGCCATTGAAGGTTTTTTAAAGATTTTATTTATTTTTAGACTGAGGGGAAGGGAGGGAGAAAGAGAGAAATATCAGTATGTGGTTACCTCTGATGCGCCCTCTACTGGGGACTTGGCTCTCAACCCAGGCATGTGCCCTGACTGGGAATCAAACTGGTGACCCTTTCGTGTCAGGCCGGCGCTCACTCCCCTGAGCCACACCAGCCAGGGTGCCATTGAAGGTTTTAAGCAGGAAAGTAACATGGTCTGATTTGTGTTTTTAAAATAACTTGGTTTGCTATATGGAGAATAGATTGTAGGGTCGGCAAGAATAGAAGCATGGGGAGCAGTTAGGAGGTTGTTGTAGTGATACAGGTAGGAGGTAGTGGTAGCTTAGTCTAGGGAAGTAGTGATCGATGGACAGAAGTGGGTGCACTGTGGATATGTTTTAGAGGTAGAATTTGCTAACAGAGTACATGGAAAGGAATAAGGGGGAAAGGGAAACATCGAGGATAACAACCTAGATTTTTAGCCTGGGCAGTTAGATAAATGGTAGCTTCCTGATATTGGAAAAAACTGGAAGACAGCAGGTTTATGCAAAATTAAGTTGAATGTGTTGCATATTGAGATAACTATTGAACATTGAACTAAGAATTTGGCAAGCAGTAGTTAGTTGCAAACAAGCAGTAGAAACTACCTGTGGCTGACTTAAGTGGGGAAAATATCGCTTATTGAAACAATATTTGCTAGCTTACAGAATCACCAGGAAAGTTGAGTTTACCAAGCTTGGAAAATGGGCTGTTCCCTAGGGAGACGAGGAACTCAGAATTTCACTGCAGAGCCAGTCTGGGAGGACATTGCTGTTGCCTCCTGCTGTTGGATTCAGCAGTTTGCACCCCTAACATCCCTGCCACTAGCACCCACACAACTAGTTCCTCACTGCCCTGCTTGTTTGCTAATTAGCTAACTATTCAGAGTCCCTAGTGGGTACATTTGATTGATTGAGCCAGGGCATGAGCAAGCTGCCAGGATGCTGGGGAAACAAATACCTGGTTTTTTAGAATTCTCAAGTGACAAGAGGTCTCTCACAAGACGTGGTATGAATTTCTTAAACTCTGAAATGAGATTCCAATCCTGGGCAGGGTGAAAAACACACATAAGAATATAAACAACAAGAGGACCCAAAGAAATAAAGTCAGAAACAAAAGAGAAGTTACCACCAACACCACAGAAATACAAAAGATTTTAAGAAATTACTACTGACGACTATGTGCCAAGAAATTGGACAACCTGGATGAAATGGACAAATTTCTAGAAATGTACAAGTTTCCAAAACTGAATCACGAAGAAGCAGAAAACCTGAATAGACTGATAATAACTAGTGAAATTGAAGCAGTAATCAAAAAACTCCCAGCACACCAAAGCCCTGGAGCAGATGGCTTCATAGGTGAATTTTACCAAACATTTAAAGAACTAACTCCTGTCCTTCTTAAACTATTCCATAAAATTCAAGAAGAGGGAAGACTCCCAAACTCTTTTTATGAGGCCAGTATTATCCTAATTCCAAAATGAGGTAAAGATACAACAAAGAAAGAAAACTACAGGCCAATATCTCTAGTGAACATAGATGCTAAAATCCTCGACAAAATATTGGCAATCTGGATCCAGCAATACATTAAAAAGATAATACTCCATGATTAAATGGGATTCATCCTAGGGATGCAAGGATGGTACAATATTCACAAATCAATAAATGTAATATACCACATAAACAAAATAAAAAATAAAAATCACATCATATCAACAGATGCTGAAAAGACATTTGATAAAGTACAGCACCCCTTTATGATAACACTCAGTAAAGTGGGAATAGAGGGAGCACACCTCAACATAATGAAGCCCCATATGAGAAACCTACGGCCAATATCATACTGAACGGGCAAAAACTAAAAGCTTCCCCTTAAGATCAGGTACAAGGCAAGGGTGTCAGCTTTCACCACTTTTATTCAACATAGTGTTGGAAGTTCTAGGCACAACAATCAAACAAGAAAAAGATATAAAAAGCATCCAATTTGAAAAGGAAGAAGTAAAACTCATTATTTCCAGATGGCATGATAATGTACAGAGAAAACACTATAGTCTCCACCAAAAACCTACTCAACCTAATAAGTGAATTTGGCAAAACTGTGGGATACAAAGTTAATATTCAGAAATGGAAGGTATTTTTGTATACCAGCAATGAAATATCAGAAACAGAAACTTGGAAAAAGATCCCATGTACTATAGCAACAAGAAAAATAAAATACCTAGGAATAAACTTAACCTAGGAGGTAAAAGTCTTGTACTCGGAGAATTACAGAGCACTGAAGAAAGCAATTAAGAAAGATACAATACAAATAAATGGAAGCATATACTGTGTTCATGGATTGGAAGAATTAACATCATTAAAATATCCTTATTACCCAAAGCAATCTATGGATTCAACACAATCCCTATTAAAATACCAATGGCACCTTGGCTGGTGTAGCTCAATCGATTGAGTGCGGGCTGCGAACCAAAGGGTCGCCGGTTTGATTCCCAGTTAGGGCATATGCCTAGGTTGCAGGCCAGGTCCCTCAGAGAGATGCAATCAGAGAGATGCAAATTAAAACCACAATGAGATCCCATCTCACACTGGTCAGAATGGTCATCATTAACAAATCAAGAAACGAGCTGGCAAGGATGTAGAGAAAAGGGAACCCTAGTGTAATGTTTGTGGGAAGGCAGACTGGTGCAGCCACTGTGGAAAACAGCATGGAGTTTCCTCAAAAACCTACAAATTGAACTGCCTTTTGACCCAGCGATAACACTGCTGGGATTATACCCTAAGAATCCTGAAACTTCAATTCAAAAGAACACCTATGCGTAGCAGCAGTATATACAATAGCCAAGTGCTGGAAACAGCCTAAATGCCCATCAGTAAATGAGTGGATCAAAAAACTGGTATATTTATACAATGGAATACTACACAGCAGAAAGAAAGGAACTCCTACCCTCTGCAACAGCATTGATGGAACTGGAGAATATTATGCTAAGTGAAAGAAGCCAGGTGGTGAAAGACAAAGACCATATGATCTCATCTTAAGAGGAACCTAATGAATAAAACAACATACTAGCAAAATAGAACCAGAGGCATGGAAACAAGGAACAGACTGACAGTGATCAGTGGGGAGGGGGATGAGGGTGGAAAGAAGGGGAAATGACCAGTCAAGGAACATGTATGAATGGCCTATAGACATGGACAGCAGTGTGGAGATTAACTGTGGGAGTGGGGGTGGGGGGCTGGGCAGAGGAGAGCAGAGGGGGGAAATGAGGACAACTGTAATAGAACAACAGTAAAATATTTATTTAAAAGTGAATATAAACAACACAGCTGGGTGTATGAGTTTGGAGTTCTAGGGAGAGGTCTGGGCCAAGAATGTTGGTGTGGAAGTACCTGGCACAGAGATGGTGTTTAATGCCATGGATGAGGGGCTCACGGCAGAGTCAGCATTAGAAACTGAGAGGGAGAGACCACTGAGGTAGGAAGGAAAACAAGAGAAAATGCTGTTCTCTTTGAGATTGGAAAAGAAAGTGTTTCAAGGAGAGTGGTCTGCTAAGAGGTTAAAATCAAACATCATAAACAAAAATGACACAGATGGCAATGCCTTACATTTGCATGGAACATTTTGATTCTCAAGAGTTCTCAAATACATCACATCACACCTCAAGTGGTATCATTAGTCCATTCAGTAAACAAGCATTATCGAATGTATACTATATGCCAGGCACAGGGATACAAAAAGCTTATGGTCTTGTGCTGGGACTTCTGTTTTTTAAAATATTTTATTTATTTATTTTTAGAGAGGGGGAGGGAGTGAGAAAGAGAGGGAAAGAAACATTAATGTATGGTTGCCTCTCATGCACCCCCTACTGGGGACCCAGCCTGTGCCCTAGACTGGGAATTGAACCCCTCCACCCTTTGGCTCTCAGGCTGGCACCCAGTCCACTGAGCTATACCAGTCAGGGCATTGTGCAGGTGCTTTTAAGCTTTAGTGAGTACTATATAACAATTCCCTGGAGAGTTTGTTAAAAAAAGATTTCCAGAGATTCTCACCCGTGGGTCTCGTAGGTGTTTCTACTCATAGGTGTTTCTAACATCTACATCTGACTAGCACCCTGGACTTATTTTGGTGTAAGTGTACCTTGGGTCACATTTTGAGATCATTGGACCAGTGGGAGATATTAAGGTGTTAATTTTATTTTATTTATATGCATTCCATCTGCCTGCTTCCATAAATAAATTCAAGCAGCTTCTTGGAAATATTTTTAAATTAATTTTTTTTTAATCAGAATTAGATAAGACAGAGAGGAGAAGGAAGTGTAAGACCTCAGAATGATTCACAGCTTTCCAAATCCTAAGGTCCTATATTCTTGGCAAAATTGGGCCACTTTTGGTTCTTAATGTCCAAGCAATTAAACAAAAACTGAAAAGTAAATAAGTAAATAAATGCCACTATTTATCAAAACCTTACCATATTCTAAACATACTGCCAAACACACTGCCATATAAATAAAATATACTGTACTCTAAATATACGACTTATACTTTGCATTAGAAATATGAGTAGATACAAAATTCACATTTACAGTGAGAGATCTCAAATTCTCAAGAGAAACATGTTTTATAATTTTTTTAAAAAGCATATAAGTAATAGTAGTTTATATGCATCAGGCTCATAAATAAATAAATCAGTAGTCTAGTTGATTTACTTAGACTTTCTCATGTAATCCTCAGTGCAATCCAATGAGGTAGGTATTGGTTTGCACCATGAATAGGCAAGTATAGCTTAAAGAAATTAAGAAAGTTTCTTCCATTTACACAGCTAATACATGGCAGAGCCAAGATTTGAACCCAAAGTCTGCTTTTAACCGCTAAATTCACTGCACGTTATAGAATGTTTAGAAAATAAAATACGTATGTAAAGAAGAAAATAAAAACCATAGTTCGGCACTATTAGCCACTGTTAAAACTTTACATTTTTTTTTCAGTCTTTTAAAAAGTAGCTCTGATGATTTTCTGAGTACAGAATTACATTTACTTACTTTAAAGCCTAGGAAAAGAGACAGAAGTATAAAGGAGGGAACAAAAATCTATAGTTCTAAAAGCCACTTCAGTATTTTTTTTAACATTTCAGTATTTTGATGTATCTCTTAATAGGCTTTTGTTTTTGCTTTTCTGTTCACATGTACATTTTTTTCCATGATAATAATGGAACCATAGATACATAAAGTTTTATATCCTCAGTATATAGGTGAGCTTTTTCCTATCTTATTTTCAAAAACATAATTTTGGGAGACTGCTTAATATTCCATTTCATAGCTTTACCATAATTTAATCATTCCACTGCAGCTGGATATTTCGGCTTTCCTTCCTTCCTTACTGCTGTACAGCTCTGCTGAGCAGAGGTCTGTGTGGGCCAGACTGCGTTGTAAACAGACACTCCCCCACTGCTGGGGGTGATTTATGTTGGTACAGGTGTCTTCAGCCGTTACACAATTTGAAAATGTTAATATCCTTTCCAGTAATGCAGTTTCTAGGAGGCTTTCCAAGGACCCCAGACTTTTTAATTATTCTCCGTGCTTTGAACTGTCTTTTCCTTAGGATCTAAACGCTCTTCCCACAGCAATGCTTATTTTTATGGCTTCTTCAAGAACAAGCGAATAGTTTTGTTTGACACTCTACTAGAAGAGTATTCTGTCCTAAACAAAGAAATCCAGGAGGAGTCTGGCATGGAGCCCCGCAATGATGGAGAAGGGGACAGTGAAGAAGTAAAAGCTAAAGTTAAAGTGAGTTCTTCTTTTCCTAAGAGACTCTCGTTTATTTCCTGTGACAACTCAAAGTAACATCAATTTCTATGTGAGTGTGAATTCAGGGAGACTGTCCAATATAGACATGGCCCCTTTAGAATTCTGATATTTAGGAGAGGTCACCACTGTTACTACATGCTAACTATCTTGCAAGCTTTGCAGAGTGTACACATTAAAACTGGAAGCATAGACAGGCAAATTTGTATGATTATAAGCTATCTTCAAAACAGGGACTTTATATATATTCCTTATGTGTTTATGATCAAAGAAATCCCATAGGCAGGATAAAGAGATAAACACTAATTTGTAGCTTCATTGAGACAGTAATTATAGACTCTGGCTATGGAGAGACTTGGATTTGAATCCTGGTTCTGTCATTTAGTAGCTGTGTGTCCTTGGGTACATTATGTAATTAGGTCAGTTTTCTTTGTTTGTTTAACACTTATTTATGAAACTACACTGTGCTGAGATACTCAGATTGGCACTAGGAATACAGGATTAATGGGGCAAATCCTTGCTCTCAAGCAGCTTACAACATCACAGTCCAGTATGGTAATTGCCACAGTGAAGCTACGTATACTGGGTGCAGTGAGAACACCAGAAAACACATTTCTTAAATCTGACCTTAGAGTCCGAGAAAGCTTTTTTTGAGTCCTTTCCTGGATGAGGTCAGCTGGTGCTGATTAGCAAAATCTGAAGTACCAAGACTAAATGGGGGAAAGGAGACAATGATAAGAAACAATACAAATTTAATCCGAAACTGGCACCAGTATTTGTATGTGTGATGTGCTCTTGGCTTTGGTGTCATTAAGAGATGATTTGGGATCCCTGTGATGCTGGGCAAGTAAGTTGAGTTCTCTAAGTCATTGGTTTCTTTCCCTTTTATTTTTTTAAGGTTTTGTTTATTTATTTTTAGAGACAGGGTAAGGGAGGGAGAGAAACATCAATGTGAGAGAGAAACATTGATCGGTTATATCATGCATGCACCCTGACCAGGGAACAAACCTGCAACCCAGGCATGTGCTCTGACTGGGAGTCAAACCAGCGACCTTGCACTTTGCAGGACGATACCCAACCAACTGAGCCACACTAGTCAGGGCTAAATTGTCAGTTTCTTAACTAAAAGATGAAGGCAGCAAGTTTCACATCAGCACTGTTGATATTTGGGCCAGATAATTTTTTGTTGTCGGTGGATGTCTTATGCATCGTAGGATGTTTAGCAAACATCTCTGGCCTCTGCCCACTAAATGTCAGTGTCAACATCACCACAACCCCCCCTTACCACCCCAGCAATTGTGACGACCAGAAATGTCTCTGGACATTGCCAGGTATCTGAGCGGGTAGGGGCTTGTGGGGCAAGATCACTCTGAGTTGAGGGCCACTAGGGTCATGAAGATTAAGTGAAATAATACAGGAGGAGCAAAAGTACGTTTGCAGTTGTGAGTATACAAAACAGAGTTTACTCTTGTATTATTGCTTATTCATTGTATTATTTTCCATACAAATAACTGTAAACCTGCTTTTGCCCCCACCCTGTATTTTGAAATACCTTGTAGTTCATTTTATATATTTTAAGTACCAGAAAATAACTATTATCACTTGAGCATCTATTTTGACCTAAAAAGATGGTCTAATAAACTGCCTAGTCTGTTATAAATATGTGGATGGAACAAAAGTCTGTGAAGAGATTAGGCAGCATTGGGAGAGGCTTACCTCCTTTAATTTTTTATTTATTTTTTTTTAAGTGGGGTTTTTATGATGTTGGAATAAGTCAATTTGGTCTGACGACGAGTCACAGGGTTTTAAGCCAGGAAGAGATTTTAAGGTCGCCTTGTAGATAGGAAAACCAGAGTCCAGAACGGGGAGCCCAGTTACAGCACTGAGGAATCATGCAAGTTCAGCAAGGCGTCCTGCTTAGGAGATACCCACATACAGGGCGGATTACATTATAGCCAAACCTAGATGGTAGGCAGTGGTTCACTAATTTTAAGCAGCATAATAAAATTACTGACCTTTAGTATCTATGAGAATAGTAATCTTTGGCTTAAATTTTTAAAAAGATGGGATAGTCCTTCGAAGCATTTTGAATGGAGTTTGAGTTATTTTCCTGGCTTCTTGAAGAGTCTGTTTTATTTCATCGATAACTACAAATATTTCAGCATCTATGTATAAGTTACAAGATGAAGATACATTAGACATAGTCCTACCTAAAGAACCTATAGTAGTCCTGGCCAGCGTGACACAGTTAGTTGGAGCATCATCCTGTAAACCAAAGGGTTGCGGGTTCAATTCCTGGCCGTACCATATGCCTAAGTTGCAGGTTGAGTCTCTGACTCGGGCATGTAAGGGAGGCAGCCAATTGATATTTCTCTCTCACATCCCATCTTTCTCTCTCTCTCTCTCTCCCTCTCTCTCTCTCCCTCTCCCTCCTTCCACTCTCTCTCTCTCTGAAGTAAATATAAATAAATAAAATTTTTAAAAGAGCTTATAGTAAAGGAGACTAGATATGTATACAAATAGCCCATACTTTAAAGCAAAGTGTGGTAAATACATACACTAAGTGGCTGAAATGGTGTGGCTTTCAAAAATTAAGAAATTAATGTAAGTTCTAATGGTCAGACAGAGTTATTTAAAAAGGATATTTGAACTAGATAGAATTTTAACTTGGAGATAGGCCTTTTCACACTGAAGACATAAATGAATAAAGCTATTGAGAGGAAAAGAAAACTACACAATGGCTATCCTGAGACTAATGATTGAATGAATTCCCGTAAATGGAGAAAGTTAGGCGAGGACCAGTTTGTAAAATACTCCTTCCTGAAGACATGGAGTGGGTGTTTCCAGTGGCCTGGGAAGTTTAGATTGACTTGAGTAAATGCCAAAGCTTGTTTTAGGAAGATTAGAATTTGGGGGCAGCATACAAGATAGAGGAAAGATTGGAGGCAGAGAGGCTTCTAGGGCCTGTTGCATCAAGGTGTCCAAGATAGGCATGAAATAATGAGGGCCTGCACTAGAGTGAAAGGTCAGAATGAGTGGAAGGGTCACAATAAAAGATGGATTTAAAGTGCTTGGTAATCGCTACAATGCGGTGGAGTGAAGGAGAAGGTCAAAGGTGGACTCAACACTCATTAGCTGTGCTGCTTCTAGTAGTGTGTGTCCCCCGGTGAGATGATTTTATATTATTTTTAAAGATTTTATTTATTTATTTTTAGAGAGAGGGGAAGGAAGGAAGAAAAAGAAGGTGAGAAACATCGATGTGAGAGATACATCCATCAGTTGCTTCTTATACATGCCCCAAACAGGGGCCTGAACCCACAACCCAAGCATGTGCCCTAACCCAGATCAAGCTGGAAACCTTTCACTTTGTGGGCTGAGGCTCAGCTGGCAGTGCCACGCAGGTCAGGGCTGGTGAGATGATTTTAGATAGTATATCGGTATTTTGAATTTGAATAGCTATGTATTTATTAATGTATATTAGGAAAAATAAAACTAGCATGTTATGATTTCATGAATATTGTCATTTAGGATAAAGCTAAGTTTTAAAAAGTAAATTGGATTAAAGAAAGATACTAAGCCCTGGCAGTGTGGCTCAGTTAGTTGGAGCTTTGTCCCGTAGACCAAGGGGTTGCAGGTTCGATTTCTGGACAAGGCACGTGCCCAGATTGCGGGTTCAATCCCCGACAAAGCACATAGAAGAAAGCCACCAGTCAATGTTTCTTTCTTCTCTCTCTCTCTCTCTTTCTCTGAAAAAAAATGTTCTCAGGTAAGGATAAGAAAAATAAAATGGAAAAAAGATACTAAGTAAGTAGTCACATAGAGATTACACAGATGTGGCAGATGTTTAGGAAACAGCCGTTTATTCACCACCTGCTGCTGCCCCCACTGTGCAGTACAGTGGGGAAGGCAAAGACGGTGTTAGGTCTGGATGATGCAGAGAAGGTGACTCGTTTCATTTTCAACAGAACTTTAAGGAAGAACACTACAGTTAACTGAAATTCCTTGTAGAGCTAACTACTATGAACCTTTTGAATGTTTCTTTTTTTTGTTTTGTTTTGTTTTTATATATTTTATTGATTATGCTATTACAGTTGTCCCATTTCCCCCCTTCACTCCCCTCCACCCTGTACACCCTCTCCCACTCATATCCCCCCCTTAGTCATGTCCATGTGTCATACTTATAAGTTCTTTAGCTTCTACATTTCCCATACTATTTTTACCCTCCCCCTATCTATTTTCAACTTACAATCTATGCTACTTATTCTCTGTACCTTTTCCCCCTCTCTCCTCCTCCCACTCCCCTGTTGCTAACCCTCCATGTGATCTCCATTTCTGTGGTTCTGTTCCTGTTCTAGTTGTTTGCTTAGTTTCTTTTGGTTTTGCTTTAGGTGTGATTGTTAATAATTGTGAGTTTGCTGTCTTTTTACTATACATGTTATCTTCTTTTCTTAGATAAGTCCCTTTAACACTTCATACAATAAGGGCTTGGTGATGATGAACTCCTTTAACTTGACCTTATCTGAGAAGCACTTTATCTGCCCTTCCATTCTAAGTGAAAGCTTTGCTGGATAGAGTAATCTGGGATATAGGTCCTTGTCTTTCATGACTTGGAATACTTCTTTCCAGCCCCTTCTTGTCTGTAAGGTCTCTTTTGAGAAATCAGCTGACAGTCTGATGGGAACTCCTTTGTAGGTTACTGTCCCCTTATCTCTTGCTGCTTCTAGGATTCTCTCCTTCATTTTTACCTTGGCTAATGTAATTATGATGTGCCTTGGTGTGTTTCTTCTTGTGTCCAACTTCTTTGGGGCTCTCTGAGCTTCCTGGATTTCCTAGAAGTCTATTTCCTTTGCCAGACTGGGGAAGTTCTCCTTTATTATTTGTTCAAATACGTGTTCAATCTGTTGTTTTTCCTCTTCCCCTTCTGGTACCCCTATAATTCGGATGTTGGAATGTTTAAAGATGTCCTGGAGGTTCCTAAGCTT